ACGCCACAGTCCCCTAGTTTTTTAATGAGAATGGGGTGAGAGACAGTGTCGAAGGCTTTCCTGAAGTCCAGAAAGACTATGTCCACTGCTACCCCTGCGTCTAAGGATTTTGTGACCTGGTCATAGAAGACCACCAGGTTGGTCTGACAGGACCTGCCTCTAATGAACCCATGTTGGTTGCCTCTAAGCATATCCTCCCATGCGCCAGGATAATTCTCTCAAAAAGCTTACCCAGGATTGAGGTAAGACTAACTGGCCTATAGTTCCCTGGGTCCTCCTTCCTTTTTTGAAAATGGGAACCACATTGGCCCTTTTCCAGTCCTCTGGCACAACACCAGAGCACCACGAGTGCTTGTAAAGCCATGCCAGGGGTCCCACAATGACCTCTGCTAATTTCCTCAGCACTCTGGGGTGGAGGTTGTCAGGACCAGCTGATTTAAATACGTCCAGTCCCTCCAGAAGTTCCCTGACTAGGTCCTCACTGACCCTAGGCCTGGGTGCGCCTCCCCTGGGGCCTGAGGGGGTCCCAGCAGATGGGCTGATCTGGTCCCTGCTCAGGAAAATGGAGGCAAAGAAATTGTTAAATAGGTTAGCCTTGTCGTCTGGTGGGACAACCAGATTTCCTAGCATGTCTTGCAGAGGCCCCACGTTACCCGGTTGCCCCCTATGTATTTAAAAAAGGACTTCTTGTCGTCCTTGATCTGGGTAGCTAGTCCCAGTTCCATCTCCGCCTTGGCCTTCCTGACCGCCCCCCTACAGCCCCGAGCAACCAGACTCTGGAGCGAGGGAAGCTGAGGTTTATGTTTATGTTTTGCTATTGCTGGCTTTACTAAAAGGTTATATTTCACCTAAAACAGCCTGAATAGACTTTGTTTAAATAGGACAGAGCTAACGTAACTAGGTAAATGGTGCAGTGCTGTAACTAGTTTTCAGTCATGAGTTTTTTCAGCTAAGTTTTTACTATTAGGCTGATTCCACATTAATTTGTATCTCGCCCAGTAACTTGCACCTTGGAAAGTAGTTGTACAATGCTACTATCCTGTGTCTGGTAATATTTTAAAGCCACTTTGGTTAGCAATGAAAAAGGGACAACAGGAGTTCAGCTCAGAATATACTGGATAGTTTTAGAACTGGAACACATCTGCTAGAAAAAAGAGACCACCACAAAACCAAACCAAACCAAACCAAAACCCAGTTTTCTTTTTCAGTACATTTTTAAAAGGTCATCTGTAGTTTTCCAATGGCTCTGCCACTGAGAAATACAAAGGCTTTGTTTTCCCATGTCACCCTGATTTGGGGAAAACACTCCTATTCAGAACTCAGTTAGAAGTTGGTCTAATAAAATTAGAATTAATTAGAAATTGATCTAATAAAAGGTATTATTTTGGAACCAAGAGTTCTAGTTTTTTGTATGTCCTATTCAGAACAGCATTTAAGCATAACTATAACATTCAGCATGTGTTTAAGTGCCTTCCTGAATTAGGGTCTGTCTGCTCAATGCTCAATTATGAGCAGTACTGGAAATAAAGGGCCCAAAGTCTCTTTTCAACTATCTTAAAGTAACTCTATTATGTTCAATGGCATTGGTTCTGACTTACACTGGTTTGAAAGTAGAATCAGACCTAACTACCATATAATAGTCCCAATACCTTCAGTTTAGCGGGCACTGTCTAATATTAGAGGATTCATACATGGAAAAGAAGAACGTTAAAAAAAAAAAGGAATACAAAGGTGGTGAGTGTCATATTGAATGAAATAGTTTGAATGTTTGTAAAGGTTGCCCATTAGCCAGTTTCAGGAAGAAGATAGGATTTATCTCCTTATCTAGTTCATTGTTTTGGGACTACGTGAAAAATGTCCTGACTTCACTTAAAGCCTTAATTTAAATTGTATCTTTAGAAGTCTTTTACAAAGAAAGCAAATATCCTGAGTTCCGAGACATCAAAGCCTAGGGCCTTTTAACCAGACTGGTAAAAAAAAAAGGTATTTACAGTGATATGGAAGAAGTCTCCCCAAGAGTAATTTAAAATGCTCAACAAAGGTAATTTCTGTTGAGTAAGATCCGAGCCCAAATTTGGGAGTAGTG